TTTCATGCACCACCAATTCTCAAAATAACACATCTCACATGTGGATAGAAAAAGAAAGTAAATGCATTTGAATTGGGCCATAAAGTAAGAAAATCAAAATAATGAAACCGCCTCCACACTTTTCTGCTTTATGAGTAATCTGTGGGAGAGAAGTTAGTGGTTGAGTGGATAATCTGGGCTGGGATCCTTTGGGCATTTCTGCCTGTACAGTCTCAGATTGGAACTTATTCGTGTTGGCCATGTTGTTGTTGTTTTTTTTAAAGATTGGAAGCTTTAAATGCACAATTCAAATACAGCAGTGTGTTTTTGAGGTTTCAGCCTCAGAATGGACTTTCCAGCAGTTTCTGAGCAACTTTCTCAGCTGATTGTGAGTCTTTTCAGTTCATTTCGTCAGCCTGGGGCTCAGCAAGTACGAGATGGAGCTGCAGCATTTCTCAGCCCAATGAACTTTTTGTGGCCACATTTGAAGTTGTGTAAAAGTCCCCGAGTGGCTATAGAGCCCCACCAGCCTCCATTGTCCGGGTTTGGGCCCCTCACCACAGCTTCAGCTCTCTGGAAAGGCGGGGGTCCACCTCCCTGAGAGCCTCTATCAGAGTTTTGCTGCTTTCATGTCCCTTCCTCATCACAGTATCAATCACATCTCGAGCTTTCTCTGCTCTGAGCTTCGTCTTTGCTGTCTGCATCTCCTCATCAATCATAACACCGTGCTGAAAGAGTTTATCCAGCAGCTGGTTCAGCACAGAATCAGAGACTCCATTAATGAACTGCAACCGGACAGCAGACAGTCTGTCCTTTGCTTGGAGTCCTGGGAGATCCCTCTGTGAAGACTCCCCTCTGGGAGCTTAAAGGAAAGCAGAGAAATGAACAATCAAATGCTGGTTTCTGCATTAATGTTGGCACAAGGCAGCGGTGGCAGCTGGGTAGGGTTAGGGTTAGAGTAAGGGTTAGGGTTAGGTCCATGGAGCTGGAGCTCCATGACAGCAAAGCTCACCAGAAATGGAGAACAAACAAATGCTCCACCTTTAAATGGATAATAAACATGAGGACTTTACCAGCCAGGTCCACTTCCCGATTCCAGACCTCCCTGTTTTCTTGGTCGCTGATGGTTACCGTCACTTCTCTGATGCTTAAGGGGAGACGGATCTCAAATGTGGAGTGGTAGTTCCTTCCATAATCTGGGTCGAAGTCTTCCCTCTGAAAAGTTCATCTCAGGATCAGTCTGGCTCCCTGAGAGCAGCCCTAGCCCTGGATGGACCTGCAGACAGGCTCCGTCCAGCCTGAGGCAGGAGGACCAACACCATCTAATGCCTGACACCTGGACACCTATCTGCCCACTCACATACACACTTCACCCCCCAGAGTCACTGCCTCCTCCTTTGTTTCTGTCTGCATCTGGGCTTATTTGTGGATGGGTTTATTTTAAATCCCCTCATTATAAAGCATGTGTGCAGCAGGCCTTTTTAACCCCCTCCTCTCCAGATGTGGTTTTTGTCCTGTATCTGGGTTTGAGTTGCTGCTGGGGCTGTGTGTTCATCTTATGGACCAGCTGTGTCTGATGCCTGATCTTGGGATGGGTTATACTGAAACTGAAATTGCCCCTCAGGCCATCAGTACGTTTTATCTTCTACCTCTTCACCTGTCGCAGCACTGATGTGTTCAGGGACACTCACCTCAGGTTGGATTTTATAGGCTGCTGGGCAGTGGACGGTGTAGGTCCAGTCTTTGATCAGCTTACAGTTTGAAGGCGTCTTGATGTACTCAGAACGTGGATGCTGAGAGCACACCTGAGGAAACATCACATTTTAGTGTAATCCCTCTGTGTCCCGTTCAGCAGGACTGAGCTCAGACTGGACCTGGATCCTGATGTCTGAGGGGCGGGGGATCTTTGGAGGAGGAATAAAACTGTCATGGGTGTTTTGTCACGTTTCCTGTTCTCTTTTGTAGTCCTTCCTGTCTGGTCCCAGTGTGGCTTTCCCTCCTGCTCTCTGTTGATTTCCTGACTCCTCCCTGATCACCTCCACCTGTGTCTCATTGTTTCCTCTCTGTCTGGTGTAGATATTCCCCAGTCGGTCTGTTGTTAGTTGCGTGTTCGTACTTGTCTTTTTGTCAGTCGTCCAAACTTTTTCTTAGTCTCATCTTCCCTCATATTCCTGACCTTTGCCTGCCTGTTCTTGACCACCGTTTTTGCCTGCCGTTTTTGTACATTTGCCTGATAATTTTTGCCTACCCGTGTACCGACCATTTTCTGGTTAAACGACTGTGATTCTCATTCCCTTGCCAGGAGTTGTGCATTTGGGTCCTGGTGTTGCCCTCGTGATAAAAACTATACTTGTGTTAATCGGCTCTCCAGCAGATCTGTGTTTTCTGCTCTATGTGTTCAATTAGAAGCTTCTTGAATCCTTTACCTCCTCCACGGGGATGTTGCTGGGCAGCAGAATCACGTCCAGGCTTTTTTTCTGCGTTTCCACGTTTGGAGGTCGAAGGAGGAGCAGAACCTGGCCCCTAATTCTCAAGAACCTCCCCACAAGGTCCCAGACGAGGCCAAAGAGAGAGAGATGAGGGACTTCCACAATCACATGAGTGTGTGTGATCTCCAGCGGCGTGAGGAGGCTCAGTCCATCATCAGAGATGTGGATGACGGACAGCCGCTCCTCAGAGAGCAGAGCTGTGGAAACAGGCCAATGCAACCTCTGTCAGACTGGTTTCCTCTAATGAAAAGGGCTGAGAACCTGTCAGAATCAGGTGAGAAGGTGCACAACAACATCTAAAACCTACAGGACAGCAGCACAAAGACGCCCCTCCTCTAGATGACGTCAAAGAGGAAGAACATGGTTCAAACAATAGAATTACGTATAAAGAGCTCTAGTTTGACATGATTTCCTTTAGTTTGAACGTTTTTAAACCACCAGAGGACGATCTATTCCAACAGCTGAGTTTTAATGGTCTTTTTTTTCTGGGTGACTGTACTGACGCCTGCAGCCAGCAGGGGGCAGAGGTGGGACACAGGCTTAAGGCTCACCGTCTTCTAGCTCACAGTGAGGAAGGTGGAGCTGACACATGGCATGATCGGGACACTGGATGTTGAACAGCGGCCCTGCAGGCGTCCTGCCGGCCGACTGGAGCAGTGTCTCGTCCCATTGGACGGTCCTGTACAGAAGCTCCGCCTCCTGAACCATGACAAAAACCAGCCCAGTGAGAGCACACTGGAACTGACCCGAAGAAGGACATCTGAATCTGTAAAGAACACACAAAGGCTGGGTGACCACAACAAACCTTACGGTATAAAGAGAAGAGAGGCAGAAACTGCAGGCAGGAAAACAGCATCAAAACATCAGGAAAAAAACTGCATTAAAAAATCAGGAAAAGAACAGGCAACCAAAAAAAACGGGGAAAAAACAAGAAAGAAACAGAAAAGCTGCAGGAAAAAACAAGTAATTTGATGTAATTTTCAGCTGTAACTGTTGTGAGCTGTCATTAGTAATTCAGTGGACATTTAATGAGTTACAATGAGGCAGAAACCTGTTTCAGAGTAAAGAACGTCTCCTCTAACATGATTTCCTGCTCTTAACCTGTTTATTTAAGGAAAAGTGGGTGTTTTTTAAAATATTCACCTGTATGAAACACCTGTGGAGTTACTCTGCACATCTGGCATGAAGCATGTGGGGGCCTTGAATTCACAAAGAAAACCATTTTAATGCCAATCATCATCATTTTGTGTCCAAACAAATATTGGCTCCATCTTAAAGTCAGCTGGAGCCTTTTGGGCACCGTTTTACATCCTGTTTTACTCCCAGTTAGTAGACAGTAAACAGAAAGGTGACTGGCTTTGAGGCTTCTCTCAGCTGGAAACCTCTGGAAATGGAGGCTGTTCTTACTTCACGCTGCTCCGTGAGGCACTTTGTGGAGTCGGGCTTTGGGCTCTCTGAGTCGGGCTCTGGTTTGGATTGAGAGTCGTTGGAGCACAAAGGCTCTTTTTCTGCTGGATCCTTCCTCCTCACTGCACAGTTACACAGGAAAGTTCACATTTTACTGTCCTTTTTGAGGAGAAAACATGAAAGATGATGTTTTTAGGACAGAAAATCTCCTGCATGAGCATCTTTCCACAAATGTACTGACAGCTGTAGGTTTCTCTGTCTGGTCTGAGTTCTGTCAGCTTTAAAAAAAACAGGAAAACCTTCAGAATTACACAGACAATAACCTCATAGATTAGAATCTTAAGTCAAACAGCTATTGGCTGATGGTTTAAACGTGTTTTAGGCCTAAAGACTCTGGTCTGACTCTGGGGGGGGTTAGAGCAGTGACACCAGACAGCTGATCCTGGGAAGTCTGATGACTTTTGTTCAAACACAAGAGTTTGAGCCCTTTGGTGGAGTTTGATTGGACTCAGACCTGAACTTCAGCAGTTCCATCAAAGCTGAAGCTAAGAGAGCCTTTTCCCTCTTCAAACTGCCCGATTAGAGCTTTATCCTGTCTGTGATCCTTTCCTCTGCCCTCCAAAATCAGAGTCCAGTCCCCCCCCATCCTCCTTCCAGCAGGCTGGATTTTTTTGCCATAAAGCCCCCCCAGTGTGCCATCTAATGACCCCCAGCAGCCCACCCCCCCCCCCCCCCCCCGTTAACGCTGGCTGTGGACAGGCACTCACAGCTTTTGTCTCCGGAGGATTTCTTCGTCCCGCTATTAAACCTGTGGAGCAAACACAAGCAAACAGAGAGAGAGAGAAAGAGAGAGAGAGAGAGAGATAAAGAGAGAGAGAGGGGGAGAGAGAGAGAGAGGGGGAGAGAGAGAGACTTTTGACTTTTAACGTCTTTTATTTATGACACAATAGGAATACACAATATTAACAGAACTCAAATATAGTAACTACACACACACCCAGAACACCCCCCCCGACACACACACACACACGCACACCCACACAAAACAAAAATAGGTCAAATCTTGAGAAACAGGGAGCCATCTTCCCCTAGTGAACATAAAACACGTCTGATCCCCCACAGAGCCCTGAACGTCTCCAGATTGTTCGTCAGCGTGTAATATGCGTGCTCCACTCTCAGACGAGCCGCAACCAGACCCTTCAGGCACCGCACCACATCCGTCCAACATCTGATGCTTCCTCGCGTTCCAAAGCGCCAGTTTAGCTACGCCAAGTAAAAAAATTGATTAAAACCAATGTCAGTTTTCTCCTGACAACATATTTGGGTCCAAAAACAAACAGGGGGACAGAGAAGGACTCTCCCAGGGCTTCCACCCATTCCTTTAAAACTCTAAAAAGGCCAACTAGCCGAGAACAACCCACCACTAAGTGCTCCAGTGTTTCACTTTGAGTGCAGAATGGACAGCCCTCCCCAGTGCTTGGATCCAGGTGAGCTCTGTGTCTGTTCGTGGCTATTGATCCATGTATCATCCTCCACTGGAGATCCGCCATCCTTTTCTCAACAGGGGGTTTGTACAGGATCCTCCACCTGCCCTTAGGGGTAATGTCTGATGTAAACACCTCGCCCCATTTTGATTCCTTCACTCCAGCCAGAGAGTGAAGGTTCAGCACCTTCACACAGCTGAGATACAGCTGCTTTTTTCCAAAGGAGCTGAATGTGCCCAGCACCGGTGTATTCCATGTCAGAAGTGAACCATCCTCCTCCTGCCGCTCCCCAGCAGCCGGACAGATGCTCAGAGACGGAAAAGCATACATGCTGCCATCCGTCCATTGGCTAGCATGACTCCCGGCAAAGTCTCTCAGGGGCCCAGACAGGGACTGCCAGACTTCCTCCACAATCCTACTCACCAGTCTTGAGGATCTGACATTTATGACATCACCAAGTGTGTCCATGGACTTATTCACCAGGTGGCCCAGTTTGGTTATGCCGGCCTTAACAAATTTAGTCCTCAGAGTGACGGAAGACAATGGGGCATTCCTAAGAAAGTCATTATTAAAAAGTGGCTCTGGCACTGGAGCACTCAACCCACCTCCCACCTTTACCACACAAGAAGCGTCGCGGTACAGTAGTCTCGTCCACGACAGAAACCCCTCTCCAACGACAAAGGCCTGTAGCGTGGTTAAAAGAAAACCATGATCCACACGGTCAAAAGCCTTCTCCTGTTCAATGGATAGGATACTGACATTGATGTCATAGATTTGGCTGATGTCAAAGATATCCCTCAATAAATACAAATTGTCAAACATCGACCTATCCGGTACACAGTATGACTGGCCAGCACCAATTAAAAGGTCCATAACCATTCTCAGTCTATTGGACCAGACTTTGGAGAGGATTTTATAATCAGTGCACAAAAGGGCCACTGGCCTCCAGTTTTTTAAAAGGGCTAGATCTCCCTTCTTAGGCAGCAGTGAAATAACTGCACACCTGCAGGATGCTGGAAGCGTCTCTTTTATAAAACACTCTTTAAAAACGTCCAGAAGGTCCCATCCCAAGATGGTCCAGAAGTGCTTAAAAAAGTCAGATGGTAGACCACCCATTCATGGAGCCTTGCCTGGTGCCATCTGAGACACCGCCGCAGACAGTTCATCAAGAGTTACATCCACACCCAGAACCTCCTGATCTCCTGGAGTCAGCTGAGGAAGTCCCTGATGAAGCTCCTCAGCAGCAGCCACATCAAAGCCGTCCGCCATGAACAAGTCAGTATAAAAGTTGACTGCATGCCTCCTCATCTCTGCCGGGTCTGCGGTAACCTTCCCATCAGGGAGGCGGAGACACACCATCTGTTTTTTTGACGTAACAGACTTCTCCAGGTTAAAAAAGAAGGTGGTTGGTGCATCAATGTCCTGCAGCCTGGTGAAGCGTGCTCGGACAAGAGCCCCTTTGGCTCTCACCTGAAGGAAAGAGTTCAGTTCCTGTTTTTTTTTACCTCAGTAAGTCATTTTGCAGATCTCCCTGTAGGGCATTTTCCAGGTCTCTGATTTGGCCCTCTAGCCCCTGGACTGTTGTCTTTATGCCCGTTGTCACCCTTTTTGTGTAATCCTGGCAAAACACCCTGGTCTGGGCTTTCCCCATCTCCCACCACTGAACCAGGGAGAGAAAGTCGTCTTTCTGGGCTCTCCAATAGGCCCAGAAATATTAAAATTTTTCACAGAAAACAAGATCATTTATTAATTTAACATTAAAATGCCACAAAGTTCTTGGTCTTCCAGTGGGAGAGAGCACTAGCTCCATCACAACTAAGTGATGGTCTGTAAAGCCCACTGGGAAGATCTGGCAGCTAAAAACTCCTGCAGTAAAGGAAGCAGGCAGATAGAACCTGTCCAGCCTAGCTGCACTTACTCTTCTATCTGACATCTTGATCCAGGTGTATTGCCTATCCGAGGGGTGTTTCATCCTCCAGACATCAACCAAGTCCATTTGTTTCAAAACATTAGACAGGACAGAGGAGGAGGAAATATGTGGCTCCTCTCCAGTCCTATCCAATGTGAAATCCGTGCAGCAGTTCCAGTCCCCACCCAAAACAATAAACTCTCCTGTACCAATATCATTTAGTGTTTCTCTCAGTTTTTTAAAAGTTTTTTCTCGTTCAGAGCCTTTGGTTGGTGCATATACATTAATGAAAACCAAGCTGAAGCCCTCTACTTCAGCTCTCACCAAAAGGACTCTGCCCTTCACCACCTCTGTGCTGGATGTCACAGTGACTTTCAGCTTAGCAGAAAACAAAATGGCGACTCTTGCACTTAGATTGGTCCCATGACTAAGGACCTGCTGCCCTCCCAACCATAAGTCCCAATCTATTGAATTTGCGCCATCAGTATGTGTTTCCTGTAAAAAAACTACCTCCAACCTTTTCTGTGCGATTATGTCTGTTATGATAGTTCTCTTTTTTACATCTCTACCCCCATTAATATTTAACGAGGCCACTCTCAGACCCTTCATGAAGAAAGAAGAGAAACAGACCAGCAGGGAAAGCCAACAGAGATGAAACACCCGGTGTTGTACAATCATGTTGCTTTAATTCGAAAGTTCCATTTTCTTTTACATTTTATTCTTCGTTGTTTTGAGAGTCTTCTTCAGACCTGTAACATGCTTCTTCAGCTGATAGCGTTTTTTGCTGTCCAGAACATCGAGCCCAAATACTCTCTGCAGCGTGGCTGACTGAATAAATTTGCCCATGTCAGGAAAATAATCTCTAACATTTACCTTCTTCCCAAACGTGTCATCCAGGAATTCATTAATCTCCTCTAGGGAGTACAGGTCACCACTCTGAGAGTAGCTGTCTGCTACAGAGAAGCTGTCAGAGTCAGAGTCCCCATCCATGTCGCCATGGCCACGAGCAGACTTCACCGAGTCATCCGGCTCACTGTCAGGGCTGACCTGCAGCAGCTCCACATCCCGCCCAGCAGCACTCTCTGCAGCCTGCTCTGGCCTCCCCAGGTCATCCACCCTCTGCCCTGTCCTGACCACCGCCTCTCCCTCACCCACATTACCCTCAGTCCCAGCTACGGGGCCACTATCACCACCACCATCAGCCCCAACCACTAATTCACTAACACCTCCATCAGCCCCGATCACGGAGCCACTGTCACCACCGTCACCGTCAGCCCCGATAACGGAGCCATCCGTCCCAGTGTTGTCACGTGGAGCAGCCTCGGGCAGTGTTCACTGTTCGCTGCTCCCTTCCCCGCTGTCGACCGCCGCAGCAGCGGCCGCTGCCGGCCCCGCAGCGCGCTGTCTGTGGGGACCCGCGTTCTGCTTGTGGCCCACATCTCCACATTCGAAACACTTCATGTTCCCGGAGCTGGCATACACCATGTAGTGTCCTAGTTCATGCTTTACCCGGAACGACACGTACAGTGTCTGCGCTGGAGAGTCCAAAAACATGAACACCTGCCTATGTAGCAACTGAACATGTCTCAGCTTAGCGTCCCTACAGCCCAGACTCACCACCCCGAACCCAACCGCAAACTTCCCAAAACACTTGAGCTCCGCTTCCGGAGCCTCGTTGGGAATAGATGGGGGGACGCCAGACACGGTGATCCGGACCGAAGGGATCGCCAGCGGGGAAACCGGAACGAACTCATTCTCCAGGATCAGTCCGCTGTCTATGAGTTGACTGACAAACTCTAAGTTCTTCAAAAAAACTACCACTGCTTTATTCATCCGTGAGGCACACACAATGTTTTCGTGCCTCACCTGTTCACCTACCGCCAGCAGCACCTGCTCCACCGTGGTGCTGGGCTGGGGCACCACCCGCACCCCATGCTTCAGAGACAGGGACGGCGCCTCCGAGGACGCCATCCCCGTCTGGAAACATGGCGTACCAGCCCCACAAGCACCCAAACACACAACAACTTAGAGTGACAAAAAACAATGATCAAACAATCATACAATAAACACTTAGAAAGGAAAACAAAAGAAGTTTGAAATTACTCGCAAACTTTCAGCCACGCTCACCACACTATCCACCACCAAACTCCCAGCATGCACTCAGAGAGAGAGAGAGAGAGAGAGAGAGAGAG